AAAAAAAAAAAAAAAAAAAAAAAAAGAGAGAGAGGGAAGGGTGGGAGAAAAAGCCCCCCGAAGCCGGGCGGTGCTGCAGGATAGAAGAAGGCGCCCGACCTGCAGATCCGCTGCTTGCGCCGCTCTCCGCGCCCCCGCCGGGGCAGAGGCCGCCCCGCACCGCCCAAAAGGCCGCCCCGCTCGATGCCGCCGCAGGCTGCCGCCGTCTCCGGAGCTTTCGTAGTCCTGCCCGGGAAAGGTCCCCAGTAGTTTTTATACGGGGTTTCTCCGCGCTTCCGGGGCTCCGAGTCACGGCGCCCTCGTCCCGCCCCCTCCATCTGCATGGCCGGCCCGGCGGTGCCCCCGGCACGCCCACACCCCGCTCACCCGCGGCCCGCCCGCCCCTCCGCGCCGGCGGAGCGCCCAGCGCCGCGTCCCGCACCGCCCCGCGCTGGGAAACCCGCGCTGCGCAGCTTTCCCCGGCACGGCTCCGGGGAGGCAACAAGTGCAACCCCCTTCCCTGCCTGCGCAGGGGGCGCGGCCCCTCCCGCTCCCGCCGTGCCCAGATGCGCGCCCAGGGGCACCCAGCTCTGCGTTGATGGCCATTCCCGATTTTTCCCCCCCTCCCCCCCCCCCCCCCCCCCCCCCCCCCCCCCCCCCCCCCCCCCCCCCCCCCCCCCCCCCCCCCCCCCCCCCCCCGACATTCCCGGTCATTCCAGGCGCAGCCAAACTTCATACCAGAGCGACGGAATTTGGCAAGGGCCCCTCTCCAAGCAGATGCCGAGGATCCCGGGCCGTGTGGTTTGCGCTGCTCGGCTCCTGACCGAGATTTCCAGAGCCGCCTGCGGCAGCGCAGAGACACCACGCCGTGCCTGCCCGGCCCCGGCCCGGCCCCCTCCCCCGCGCCCGCCCGCCCTTCTCGCAGCGGAGGGGAGAAAGAAATCCCGAAGAGCACGAAGGAGACGGTGCCTTCCAGGAGAGCATCCTGCCTATAGAGTATACTTGGGTAACTGCGGAACGGGAAAAATAACGTTTAAGACATGCATATTATATAAACATTCATATATAGTTTGTTTCAGTTACGTTTTCTTTTGAATAACAACGGATGTAACTGTTTCTTTTTCACCCCTTTAATGCATACAGATACATATAGATACTATTTAAAATACGTATAGATACTTTATACATGTAGTTATTTCTTACAATACAGACAGATACTATCTAAAACATATAGATTCCATTTGAAAGAGGCTAAGCTCTCGCGCGCACACACACACACGTACAACCCGCACGCAGCAGCACCCGGGGACCCCGGGGCCCGCCACCGCAGTGTAGACAGCGGATTGCGCGGAGAGATGCAGGGATGGGGAGAGGGATGGGGGAGGATGGGGGGGACAGGACGGCGTTGCGTCACTGCTCGCAGCTTTGTGACGCGCGGCTGGAAAGCAAATGGAGGTGCACAGAGATGTGATGCGCGGCCTCCTCAACCAAGCACCTCACCAAAGCAGGGGGGAGGTGGGGGAGCGACAGACCCCGACGGGTTTTACTGCCTCCTCCCCTCCAATTTTAGTGCCCCCCTCCATAATCTCCTGCCTTGAGACTGAGCTGGGGATATGGGGGAGTGTTCCGCTCCTCACGGGGAAACACCTGAGCCGGGCGAGCTGGCGCGGTTTATCCCCCACCCCAAAAAGCAGAGGCGGGGGTCTCACCGAGCTCGGCGCCCACCCCGTCGGGGAAGACCCCCCGACCCGACCCGGCCCGGCCCGGCCCAGCCGCGGGGCAAGGGCGCCCCCTGCCGGGCGCCGGGCGCTCCCGAGGGGGCGGGCGCAGCCACGGCCGGAGCGGCAGGGGGTGTTTGTTCTGGGGGCGGCCTCGGCTTTGATTCACTGCCCAGATTCCCTATTACTTCAGCAGCATATGTCTGCTCCTGACTCTGGAGCAGGCAGGGAGCAGGGGCGACTCCGCGCTGTGCCCCCGTCAAGCAGCACCGCCGCCCCCTCCTCGTGCCATTCACGGGACGAAAAAATTGTTTGTAGTGCTCTATGACAATGCATGATATGATTTTAAAAAAAAAAAAAAAAAAAAGAAGGGCAGGAAGTTTTTAAAATCCGGATGTGCACAAGTGACTGAAGCTTGAGAGCAGAATTAGAGTGTCCTGCGTCCACTGGCACACTGACTGGGGTTTGCTAACTAATTCCTTTATTTAAAAAAAATATTCAGACTAAGAGGCCTGCTGGCAAGGGAGCCTGGGCCACTGGCTATTGCAGCTGGGCACAGAGAGCCCCCATTTCAGCCTGGGTGCAACTGACGGTGCATTCAAAGAGGAGGGTGCCAGGCAATGCCCATCTCCCTGCAGGGCAGAGAAATGCTCGAGTCTCCCTAGACCCAACCGGGTCACAGCTGAGGCCAGGGGCTTAAAGGGTTCCCACGGGGGGGCGGGAGGGGGAGCTGCCTGCCTGCAGCACTGAGGCATCTATGCACTGCCTTCAATGCACAGTTAGGAAGCTCAGAGAGGTTGAAGCACAACCCCATTCCCAGACTGGCATCGCTCAGGTGAACCACAGTTCACTAGGGCACACCATTTAAACTTTCAGAAGGAATAACTATGGCCGTATTTATAAGCGAATTGTCAATATCAATAATCAGCCAGATTACTGATTTCTAGAGCAAGGGCAAAGATCAGACCTGGAGGCTAATCTCATATTAAGCCAGGACACATCCAGGAAACCGAGACTGCTTCATGGTTGGAAGCAGTGAACCTTTCATTTCACTTGTGTTTGTCAGCATGCTGCAATGAAATTTTAGCCATATTTCAAATATCGCAGAATGTATCAGTGAGTTTACACTGGTCGGTAGGATTTAATGTTATTTTATACAGACCTTGTTTCACTTCCCCTTGAAGTGTGGGTTTTAACATCTCTCAAGTTGCTAATTCTTGCCCACTTAAAAAATCAAAATGGGCAGCAATTCATCCTGGGGAATACAGATTTGCTAAAGACAAGGTGAATGTGTCTCAGAAGGAAGACCTTTGCACTGCTGGGCTTTGCCAAAGGAGCAAGGCCAGCCCAACACTACCCTCACCTCACCTTCCGTTTTTCAGCGTAACCACCTACAAATAGCCTCCTACTGACTTGAAAGAAGAGAGGAAATTGTTTCCAGACAGAATAAAAGCATTTACACTTTTTCAGTTCAGAAAGGTATGTGCTCTTTGTATAGGTTAACAACTATTTGCACTGATGTACAATTCTTTGCACTTCTCTTCCCCTAATTAATGGACAGTAGGTAAAGGATGTGTTGTTTTGGGCTTTTTTAATAGCTGTCTAAATACAAGGGAAATATATACTCAATTATAAAAGCACAGGTCACTTTAAATCAGTAGAAATCATTAAGAATTTTAGCAAGAAATTGAAATAGGGTATATCACCTTACAAGAAATGCAGAAATATTTGCATGATTTACAGCTGCTGCAAATAAAATAATTCATTCAGCTCATGAACATGCTCTGTCCCTTTAATGACAACCTTATTTTTGGAAGGAAAAGGTGAAGGAGTTAAAATTGTTAATGTGAGCAATAATTTTGATTCTTTTACTCACACAGGTTGTTTGTACTGCCCAAACAATTAGTAGAAACCCAAGATGTGTGATGTGAATCATGTCTTTCTGTATGTCTGCACAATATTTTTCACTTAGTCCCTTCATCTCACCCGTACTCTCAGTCCTGCTCTAGAACAACTGAAATTTAATAGCAATACATGTGTTTCTTGTGTATGCATTTGTGTATATTCCCTAATAAAGTCCTCAATGTGAGATGCTAATTCAGCTTGACCACATAGCAAAGAGTGCATTCTCCAGGCGAGTTCTGCTGAATTTAAGAATTTAAGTATTTTATTGACTGAACTACATGTATTGTGATTGTAATGTCATTTTGTCTCCCTTCTGCATGAGACGCGGTGCCTAAAAGAGGAACATGTTCTCTTTGGACAAAAAAAAAGAACAAGAAACTGTGACTCTTCAACTGTCCCTATTCTAGGAATTGGTGCCCATTTGCTGTGCAGCAGGAGCAAAACTTCCAGTTTAGTTTTTTCCAAGAGGAATTGAGTTCATGTGACACAGCTGCTCTGCCAACATAGCCAACATATGTTACCTACAGACAGTCAGGGGATTCATTTCTGAGCAGCAATACTACTTCAGTCCAAAAACTAGTGTTGACTCACCCAGAGGTGTTTGGTTTTGTTAAAAACGTAACAAGCATCAATATTGCTAGGTAGCACTAGGTGTTAAAAACATCACTAGGTATTAAAAGCAGTAGCCTTCTGTCTTGGATTGACTTGTCAGAAACAAAGAAGTCTAGGCAGCCCAAAATACACCCTCAGAAGTTTGGAAGAAAAAAAAAATTATCATAATTGTGTAATGAAAAGTTTAGTAATATAATTCCTCCTTTCTTTTATTTATTTCTAATCCTTCTATTAAGGACAGTTATTAACTGAGGACAGTTATTAATGGCAGGTACCATCACGATGGTTTTCTGTATCTCTTGACAATGTTAAAAATGCATATAGATGTTCAATATAATCAAAAGGCAATAATCTGTAGCCTAGATGGACATCGAGAGCCACAATTGCCAGGTGGCTGGATATGCAGCGTATCAAGTATGGATGAACAGGCTGTGCAAGGGGAGCTCTGGGGCCCCTCGGCAGCCCTGGCTGCAGTGGGAGCACTGGCAGTTGCACAAGGATATGGCAGCCCTGCAGCTTCCCACCCAGGCCTGGCACAGCTTCTCTCTGTGTCTCTGTTCAATAGTGCCTTAGCATGGCTGGCTTGGTCTATCTCATACAGAGGCCAACAGCAACTAAAACATTAAAAATGAGATCTTGACCTAATTTTTTGTTCCCTACTTGCTAGACATGGAAAGACATTGCTGGGCAGCAATCACCGGAAAACTTCTTTATGTTATTCACTGTGTTGCTACACAATTATCTTGCTGGAAACAGCAGCTGTATGAGGGAAGAATATTCGTAGCTGTTCTCCACTCAGACAGTATGCAAATGTATCAGCTCAGCTCCAGATACAAATTTGTGGAGAGTGTAGGCTGTTGTACCCTTTCACTGCCTCCTCATCACCTCATGTGCAGCTGCTGGCAGGTGCTCTGGGCAGCTGCTGTCTCCATCCCGCTCCCCACGCAGTACAGTTGGATACCTCTTCTCTGCCGGTTGCTACCCCAGACCAGAGAGTGGGGAGATCTCAAAGAGGCATCAGCCAACAGGACAAAAGTTCAGAAAACTTGACTTGGATGGGAAATGCTGGGAATTACTGCAAAGTTATCAGATCCAAACAGAGCCCAGCCCAGGCTGAACCTTGCACCACACATACACATTCTGAAAATTAGTTTAATGAAAACAGTCCACAGTAAATGGAAGTTTGCTAGAAATGACTTTGAGTACCAAAATGTACTGTTATTGACAATAGCACAGAACAAAGTACCTTCAAAATTAACTGTAAGACCTTGCTTATACCAGATACACTTGTAATCCTTTCCAATTTTTTTTTGATTTATATATTTCCTCAGAACTAGTCTGGGCAAAGTTTGAGCATGGATGTGGAAGTAGAGCTCAAAGGATGGTTTTGGGTTTTTGTTTTGTTTTGGGTTTCTTTAATTATTTTTTTCTCTCACTAAAGTACTCAAGTCTGATTTAATTTTTTTTTTCCCAAGGTCAAAGCAGTCTTCTGATACCTTGATATTCTATAGTACACACTGGTTTATTTCCAAAATTTATTTCCATGCTTGACATTTTGTGATGGAATAATCAATACTAGGAATTATTACTGTAATTAGCATTGATTGCTTAAGTAGTCAATACTACGGGTCTTTGAATAAAATAAAAATCAGAGTTACTAGAAAATGGTCTTTCAAAGACAAATAAATCTTTGTGCTTTCAAAGTACTACTGTTTTCTTAGTTTTATTTTTCTTCTGCCAGATTTTGCTGGAAAGATGTTTTACTCATCCTGGGAAAAATGTCAATGTTTGGTCTAAATACTGTGATGTTTTGAAAAGGTGAAGTTTGAAGAAGGCCAAATTATCAGAATTTTCTGATGAGCCTGCCAGTAGCTTTTTTACAGTTCTACTGAGAGCATGTATTAAATGAAATAGCAGTGTTCAACATGTGCATTGCTGCAACAACCACTGGCCAAGTCAAGAGATCAGGGCACCAAAAGGTTCGTCCATCAAAGGACCTATTCCTGCCTCATCTACGTGGTTCATAGCCTAAATACACCAGTACATAGCAGTATCTTACATTAGACAAAATTATCAGCATTTGCTCCTGAGTAGGATTTTTCAGAGCTGGAGCTGTAATCAGACACAGGAGATGGCAAGCCTCTCACCTTCTCCATGCCAGGCCAGCAGCCATTCCACTCACACTGCAAAGCGTAAGATGGTGTGCTCCTGGCAAATCCTTTTTCTCCACTTCACCTGCATAAAAATAGTCATGCTTTCAGTTATTTTTTACACTCAGATACTGTTGTGATTTTGCCCATATTGACCCGCGGGATCTACATGCAATAAAAATGAACTATTCAAGATCTAGGTATTCCTAGTCATATGGCAGCCAAGAATGAGACTCTTCTTTTTCTTACTTTTTTGTTGTAGTTGTTGTTTAAAAGGCCATATTTTTCATTGTTATTTAGGAGAGTTTAAAGCTTTGGTCTTTCTACACCCATAAGAAAGACACCCCCTCAATATTTCATGTCTCACGCATTCATGCAATCCTAGTTGCTTGTGACTGATAGGATTTTATGCTGATTTTACTTGTCATGTTTTGTTTACCTTACAATGCATTAAGCTCACATGGGAATACTCCAGTGGATTTCAGCATTCTGCCTTTTATTCAGAAGAGATGGAGAAACTCATCATTTCAGATTTAAACAAGCTGTCCTGCTTTTGGAACAACAAACTGCAGAGTGAAAATACACAATGTGAACTAAGAAAAATTGGGTTACTTTTCATTCAGACAGAATTGGTCTTGTAGAGTCAAAGCCATAATTTAGTTCCACCTACTACAAAACAAATGCTGTTTTGCCAAGTACTTTCACTATCAGGACTGTTACTCCTGATGAAGTCAGGGCACCTTTCAGTCTTGATTAAAGCCAATAAATGCTGGAAATTAACTGGTTTACTATTGAAAATGTGTTTCATTACCCAATTAATCTCAGTGTTAAAAATGTGCATTATGTTCCTACTCAAAGGGCATATTTGCACAGAACAGTAGTGTTTGTGTTGAATTTGCTATACACTGAAATCACATCCATATTCCCAGGGCGCAATTCTTTGCAACTATAAAAAAAATTAGATATACAGATTTGGTGCTCCTCCTGTTTAAAACTACCTGTTGAAGTAATACTGACAAACTTTTGCATAGAGGCACAATAAGAATTCCTTAGCTGGCATCTCACATAGCTTTGTATCTCACCCAAAACTACCGAAGATGGCAGGCTGCTGTTAAAGAAGGTTGGCTATCTCTTGCTGTTCCCAGGGAGGCAAAATGTGTTTGTTTAGAGCAAACACATAACCATTATCCATACTACAGCGAATTTTGGTTATCCAGAGTTGTATGGATGGGTCTTTTGCTTAAAGGTAAAGAATCAAAACTCTTACCCAAAAAATGTAATGTTATCCCTTCACTTTTTTTAAACAAATTAATCCTTTCTTCTTTCACCATCACAGATGATTCCCAGCTCTCTACATGCCAGCAATGGCAGCTGGAGCAAGAACCTGTTTTGGAACCACGCTGCTGTTGCAAACAAGAATACAGTGGTGTGCTTTACCAGAGCACCCACCTACAAGACTCCTTTTTTCTTTCATAGGTCTACTTTTCATTGATGGAAAACCCTACTCCTCTGCACCATGCATGGCTTTGGTATGCTAGGTTCAAAGAGCAGAACAGTATAAGAGAAGAGTGTTTAGTCAGAGTATGGAAAAAAATGAACTAGACAATTTATCAAGTACATTCCACAGCAAAAGCAGGGTATTTTGAAAAACAAACAAACAAACAAAACAAAACAAAACAAACAATACTTTTTTTCCCCAAAATTAGAAAGGGGAATATGTCTTTGGTGAAAAAAAAAAAGAAAAGAAAGAAAAAAAAAAGGTGTTTTTTCCCATGCAAGATTTTTCCTCCAGGAATGTGAAAATTATACAAACTGGTACCCTATACATGTTGTCATGTGGCAGTAAGCCCTGCCTCCACATCACCAGGAGGGCAGAGAGCCGCCTCTGATGAGGAGAAGACTCCAATCTGTGCTGCCAGCTTTCTTGCTGACACCCTGCAGGATCCCAGATGGAATGAGCTGCATCAAGGGCCATTGCCTCTCACAGCTGCAAGTTACCACCAGTCTTTGTGCAACGCAAGCCAGGGACCCTGGGGCTCCAGCCCTTCCTGAGCATCACCGGAGCATCGCCAGCACTATTTACTGCTGGGAGAGATGGGCAGCTGCACGGCAGCAGCTGCAACCCAGTTTTTTGTCCCAGTTCAGAGGGGGATACAAACTCCTGCTGTGCAGGCAAGAGAGTTGTTGCTTTCCTGAGGAGCAGATGTCAGAGCACAGCAATCTTCACTGTGCTATGCCACTGAGGCATGAGTTTTGAAGACCTCAGAAATCAGCAAGACCTAGGAGCTGGGAGCCTTTTCCTGACTGGAAAAGGACCAGACCGGCTCCAACGACCAGTTCCTGCTGAGTTTGTAGCTCGGCTGCTGCCCCGCTGCTCAAAAGGCAGAAGCAGGCTCTTCCTCAGAGCAGCAGCTTCAGCTCCTCAGTCCTGCTGAGCTCAGCAGTAGCCCAGCTGAGCTCTGAACCGTAAGCTGGCTTTGTGGATAGATAAAAATAGTAAGGCATGAATAACATTAACACTGAAATAAGGGCAACTGTCACATTTCTGTTCTTTTTTTACTGTGGAGCCCTCACAAGGCTAAAAGGGCAGAGACTAGAAGTCCAAGTGCAAAAACTCTCTTAGCCACAGCACTCCATGGTCTGTTTAGGTCTGACTTGTTTCTGGACAGGCTCCTTGGGCATGCAAACTTTCAAGTGGGCTCTGCTAAGGAATAAGGAGGAGGCATCACAGCATGTAATCTCAACCCACCATTGGGATTGTAGAAAGGATCTAAACTGGGAATGGAACCTTCCTTTCCATCTCTAATGTTTAAATGTTCCCTGTTATCTTCTAAAACAGCTTATCTGAGCCAAAATGCAGAGAACAGTTTGTGAAATTTTGTCCTTTTGAAACAGAGCCTTTGCATCCCAAACTCCTCAAGTCTTTCCGTGACATTAAGGGATTTCTGTGGTTGTACCACTGTGCATCTGAAATGGCTGTTGTGTGTTACAGTCCTGTGAGGTGACCTGGTAGATGAAAACACAGTGAATGGCATGCTAATATTATTAGTCTATTTCTTGTTCCTCTGCTGAGGAAATTTTTAAAATTAACCCACAGAGGTTCTTATTTATCAGCATAGCATTTGTTTCATTTGCCATTGCATTCCAAATATTGCTTTGCCCTGAAGACCTGTTTTGCTAACTTAGAGCTTCAGAGAAAGATTTCTATTCCACTGCTATTATTCCTACTAGAATAATAGGGGAAGGATTTTGCCTCTAGATACACATTTGCCTCTAGAGGCAATGTGCTTTTACACAGAAGGTCCTACAAACAACCCTGGATTATTTCTTGATATGGTGCTCAGAAGAGGGTTGATTCCAATGCAAGAGGAGTGACTCCCCATCAGTCTCTTCCCAACAATCCCAGTACACTGTTTTGGTAGGATCCTTTTGTTTCTGGGCAGCCCACCGATGAGGCAACTTCTTACGAAAAAGAAGTTCCTGTGCTTAGTATTTCTCCGGCAGCCATCCAACATAGTATTTCACAGCAAGGAAGGAGAGGTGCATTGTCCCTTTTCTTCTGATTACTTCACACTGTGTGCCCACTTAAATCAGTTAATACATGTCTATCTTTCTATGACATTAAGTGTCTGCTGCATAATTTACAGCACTTTGTTACTTTGAACATTTGCACCTTAAGTGCTGTTAAGTAGCAGATGCCCAATAAATGCTGGTATTGCATGAGTCCTTCCAGGATCTGTCATAGATCTTACATCATCTTTGTAGGTAAACTCATAACATCTTAAAAGCAGCTGATCCCCTGCAGGCAAAGTGACTTGGTGTTCCTGTTAATCACTTTTAATCACTCATTGCCTTCCTCACCTTAATTTCAGTCTCCCTGGCCACAGTTGTCCTGGATGTGCACAGAGACCCAGCAAGCCCTATGTAATGCTGTGCCAGCCCTGTGAAGAGGCAGGGGCATAAGCATCCGGCATTGCATTGCTATTGACCTCACGGCAAGTCAAACAGGAAGCCCAAAGCAAGGCAACAGGGCAGGCAAGCAGATAAACAGAGGAAAAAGCCCTGAGGCTCAGGAGAGTGGGCTGATCAAAAGGCGGTTACCAGGAACATAGGAACCCCAGATCTAACTGAGGAAAATACCAAGGCCTTTATTGCTTTGATGGGAGCTGCAACTGCTCCGCCAGCTTTCATCTCTGGCTGCCTCCTCCTATGTTTTCTCTTCCATGGGTGATATGCTGGCGACTGGGAAGGAAGTGCCAGGAGGAGCTTCCAGCAGCTACGCTACTTAGCGGTACTTGGCTCTGATTGCTTATGTTCTCATGTACTAAAAGCACAGAATTATCACGTGCCCTTATAAAAAACACACCTGGTGAATGCACAAAACCAGGGGTGAACAAAACTGCTGTCTGCTAATGAAAGTATGGAAGTAGTGGGTCAAAAAACAGCCGGAAAATTATTTCCCCATTTTCCCCTCTAATAAACCATAATCCTGAGCTGATTTGTTTTCAAGGAGTTCTGGCATTACTCCAAAGGGCTGCATTTTCCAGAGATGAGCTATCCATTTCCTCTGGTCTTTTTAACATGGCTGCAGCTGAACTTCTAAGCCAGATCATCCCAATTTACCAGGCATGAGATTATTGCTGGTGTGCAAAATGAGGAGGAGAATTAAAAATAACCATGCCAGTAGCTGTGCAGTCTGTTGGTTTAAGGCTTAGAGGTTTATGTGTCATTTGGAAGTACTTGAGTTCCAGAATAGGCTGTTCAGTAAGTCTTTGTTGTAGGGAGACACACAGAACAGATCTGACTCCTTTGCTTTTCACAGATCAGCTTAGGGTATAGAAGCATGAAAAAACACCTAAACACTCGTTTTAGAACTGAATAGGTCAGTGCTTTAACTGCACCTGATGAAAGCCAGTAGTGTACTTGGGTATAATAAACTCAGTTTAGTGCAGATTAAGTGTATTATGCACGTGTTAAGCTGTATCATATAATACAGCATAGCACACACATGGTCCTCAAAGGCAGAAATGAGTGACTCCAGCCACACAGAAAAGATGCTGATAAAATCTTAAAAATCAGATTTCCTGATGGTTTATTTATTTTTGCAAAAATGTTTGGTTTTGTTTTTTTTTTTTTTTTTTTTTAATGTAAGCATTTTTGGATTCTTCCTTTTCATTGCTGAGCAAATGCTCTACATTTAAGTGCAGTTCATAAACCTTCTGTACCCACTAATGAGGAAAACATTTGCAACTTCAAATATCTCTTGTGCTACTGAAAAGAGGTTCTTTAAACGAGTTTTGGACACTTTAAAATACATTAACAATTCATCACAAAGCATGTGTAATTTAATGTATCATTTTGCATCCAGATATCAGTAGCTTTTCTTAACATTAAAAGAGTTGCTACATTATGGTCAGCCTGCTACCAACCCAGGTAAAGAGCTCTTCATTATCTTTTGTTTCTAATTATAACTACCTATAACTATCAGGTCTGGGCCTGATATGCTTGAAGCCTATGGTAACTCTTTAGCAGGCAGTGGTCCTTTAGAGGGGAAATGAGGAATGTTTAGCTATTAAAAACAGTTTTTAGTGGAGCTGATGTCCTAAATTAGTTACTTAATAATTGCCCCTTCTTTTCCTCTTGCTAGCTAACGTACATCTTCTTTTGGTTTCTGAGATGTCCAGACTGTCAAAACCAAACTTCCTCCTTGCCTTGAATAATACAAATGCAGCAGTCACCACTAAACAATTACACCTGAAATATCCACCAAGGATTTGCTATTCTGATTCTAAGGAGAGGGGAAAACCGTAAGTGGTTGGGTTTGTTGTTAGTATTCAACAAACAAAAATACTTCAGTAACCTTAGGAGAGGACACAGGATTTTCTTTCTGCATAGATGATTTGACTTCTAATTATTTAGTTTTTATAGGCTTCCCCCAACCCTGTTCCTCCTCACCCTGAGCAGAATGAACACACATCTTTACAGTCCCTGCCTGTTCCAGCCAGCATCCTGGCAGTGGCATCTGCCCAACCTTTTTTCAAAGCCAGGTACTGTAGCTGAGGTGTCCGAACACTGCTGGTGCCAGGGCTCTGGCAGCTCTAGCCAGAAAAGAACCCTGGATAGGTGACATAGCATCCACATGAGTGGGTTGTTTCAAGCAGCTCAGGCAAAAATACATCCATTGTTCAACAGTCCCTAGAACAGCTAATCTTGTTTCTCTATGCCAACAGCTGTCCTATTAATTGTGTATTTTTCATAGACGTAGTTCCACAAATTCCATGTGATACATAAAGATCAGTAAAAATAAGGTCATTCTTCCTCAGCCTCTCTGCTCTGCTCCCAGGATATGCCTGTTGGCAGGGTGAACCTTGCCTGTCACAGACTTTGTTCGCTTCATACAGACTAAACAATAGGGCACTGAAAGGCATAATGATGGTGACTAGTTAAAGGCAAAATAAAAGGGAAAAAGTAATAAAACAAAAGCACCTATAAACTTATTGGTGCATGTATAGCTCACCCAACATGGACTAGAACCACCAAATACATTTCTGCTACCTGATTTAAAGTTATTGAATGCCCTACCCTTTATGTACTCGTGTATTTTCCACAAGGGCTCACCTTCCATTTCATTTAACGTAACCCATTGATTTCAAAACTTGATGTGGGAAAGGTCTCTCTGGAGCC